ACCTGATGCCGGAGCCCACCTCTGGGCTCCGGCTGCAGCAAGGAGCGGGGCAGAAGCCTCAGCGTTTCCCACCAGTGCAGCTCCAGTAGGAGACACACAGACTGATGAACTGGCGAAGGGCTCACGCCTACCTATGAGGTACTGCCAGTAGGACTTGCAGATCTCCCGGAGGTTCTTGAAGATCAGCTGAAGCAGGTACAGGGAGAAGGACCAGCCTCCTACCAGCAGGAAGTAAACAGGACTTTTCTAGGAGAGGAGATAGGAAATTCAAGACAGGCAGTGGGCATCCTGCCCCCAGCTGCCAAGCCTTGCTCCATGCAAAGCCAGACCCACAACCCAACACCCCAAGGCCCCGTGTTGCAGCGCCCTCACCAGAACAGCCGCAGGGGTGTACAAAGGGCTGCTGCTGCCAGGCCTCTTGCCCCAGCCAGCCTGACACCCACCTTGGGCATGACCTTGGACATCATGTAGACAAGGATAAGCAGCGAGGCCAGCAAGCCAAAACTAATCCCGGCCGAGTAGTGGAAGAGTTGGCTCCTGCAGAGATCACACAGGTTTTACAGCTCATGGATGCCCGTACACAAACACACCCGTTGGAAGCAACCCCCTGAGAGCCTGCAGGGCCAACCAGGCACTGCCCACCTAACCCTCCCGGTCCCCAGCTCCCAGGGGAAAGGAGGTGACCCACCTGCTCAGCATGTCCCCACAGAAGAACAACAATAGGCCCAGGAAGAAAACCAGGAACAGCTTAGGGTCAAAGCCTGGAAAGAGAGCCAGTCCCAGCTGAGAGGAACCCTGGCACGGTGCTCTCCAGGTCAAGCTCCAGCCTGCCACACGGTCACAAGGACAGGGAAGGGGCAGGGGCAGCATCCCAGGCAGACCTCTGACAAGCACCCTAAAATCCCCCACTTTATATCCCATGGACAAAGATACGTTTCCCTCCGTGGGCCCGTTTTCCTTCCCAAGGAAGGACCAGCTCTGCTGACCCTCAGACCACGAGCTCTCCTGGCCACCTCCTCGAGAGCCAGCACAGCCAGACCCACCTCCCACCTCAGGAGCCCCTGCCACAGAGGAGACGTACGTCGGAAGAGGATGACGCAGTACATGGTGTCAGCATCCAGCAGCTCAACCTTCAGGCAGGTTTTGTTGCTGTAGAGATCCACATCGATGCTGGTGTCGTTCAGCTTCTCCTTCAGGAAGGAGAACACATTCCACATGCTGAACTCCTCCAGCTCCTCCTCGCTGTCCACCTGGGTGACTCTGATCATCCGGCTGCTGTTGACCCGGATCTGGGCAGGGGAGAGAAACAAACGGGGACATGACCGCAGCTGCAGGAGGGGCTCAGCCCAGCCAGACCCGCGAGGACCTGTCTTCTCCTCTCACCTGCATCCTTGTCCATATCTCGTGCCATTGCGGGATGCGCGTGTTGGTGTAGCAGAAGTGGTGAGAAGCCGAGTAGTAGCAGGCCTGGCCCTCGTGGAGCGGGATGACCAGCTCCCTGGCAGCTGCACCGCACAGGGCAGAGGAAAGGGATTCAGCAGCGCAGATGAAAAGGGGGGCTCCCATTCCCGTCTGCTTCACCCACCAAAACACCAGAACTCCCCCAGCTACGTATACTGTGAGGGGATAAGCTAAAAGCCCTTTCTGTTTTCCTCGGCCTGGCTCTTTCCCGGGATAGCCCCGTTCCTGGAGCTGCCAGAAGCGGCACAGGCTCGGCCCCTGCCCCCCTTTCCCCTGTGACTCCTCAACCGAGATCTGCCCCCGCCTCGGGGAAAACTAAACCCGAGCGCGCCCCCACAAACTCGCAC